TATTGAATTAGTATTCTGTCTAGTCAAAACGTCCCTGACTTGCGTAGCAATTTGAAAGTTTAATAAAACAATGAAAAATAGAGAAAACAAAAAAAAGGTTGAATATGCGCCACTTTCATGTTGAAAATGGTTTGATAATAACAATTTTAGCTTTTCAAAGCTGTTTTTAAGTGCATTCGGTTCGTCGGAAATGAATACAAAGGAAATTCTTTGCAGATATCAGAAGCACTCATAGTTTATGAAGTTTTGCTACCTCCGCATTTCCAACATTGTCAGGCTCTTTCTAATTTGCAGCATTTACTGGCAATTTTGTGAAGAAAACATAAAATTCTGCAGGCAACTGTTTGGACACCACAAAGGGCCTTCCACGTCACTCTAAATTCAGATATCTAAAATTGTAATTTTGACTAGTCATAATTGTGCTGAAGATATCTTAAGTCGTAATTACGGATATGTGTCCCGTCAAATGACAGATCCAGTGACGTCTTTTGAGATATCTTGAAAGGAATTTTGACTCGTCAAAATGTAATTACAGATATCTTAAATTACCATTCCGGATAGTCAAAATGTAGTTTTGTCTAGTCAAAATGCATTATTAGATATATGGAATGCAATTACGGATAGTCAGACAAAAACGAATTTATGTTAAAAAGGCTTGCCACAGCCGCATATAATGCATAGCGAGCTTGTAATGTGGGAATCACCTACTGGGATAAATCCATTCTCATGTCTCTTCTCTGGGTCTTTTCCCCTTTGCAAAGAAACTTTTCAAAGACATCTGATCCTTTTCTCATTTTGTTGCTTTTTTTAAACAATGATACAAGTTACATAAACAGTAACTAAACGAACGATGAGGCTTAAGGAAGGTAAAAGAGCAAAGATTACAAACAGGAAAAGGTTAAATACAGCAATTAGGGCAGATTACATGAGAAATTCTTTACAAATTGAAGTAGTCTTTAAAGCTTTAGTATTGGTACAGTACTTAAGAGAATACAATTATGAAGAAACATAGGCACAAAAAGCATTAAATTTGGGTTTCAATTTAAGAAATTTGCAGCTGTGGATATTAAATTTTGCTAAAATTAATATCAACTGTATAACAAATACTTTGGTTTTTGGAGTGTTTAAACAGAAAAAGCCACATAATATAGTTCTAAAGTTAAACGGTAGGTCTATTTCCAATTTTCTTTTTAGGAGTAAAAAATATATTTCCAAAATATCTGAATATAAGAGCAGTCCCAGAAAAGATGAGTGAGAGTCTCCTCAGAATTGTGACAAAATGCAAATAGAGGATCTACATTAGGGTGATATTTAAATATTTTACTATTAGCAGGATAACATCTATGTAGAATCTGTAGAGACACTTCTTGAATCGTATCAGTATTAAGTATTTCTTCAGCAATAACCAAACATCTTTCAAGCAAATATCATTAAATATATTGTCCCAAAAAAGTAGAAGCTGGTTTGCTTTATATGATCTCTTATTATTAGTTCTCTAATACATTTGTTATTAGTTTTACTCCTTAAAAATGGGTCAGAGTTACCAATGAATAATTGTTCTGTTAAGTAATCAGTGTGTTGTTGAACAGAGGATGACAATAACATTTTTCACCCCAGAAGGGATAGCATCAAATATGATTGCAAATTCTTTAGGCAGTACAGGAAAATTATATGTGGTCAGAAATTCATAAGAGTATTACCTTCTTTGTTGAAAAGTTAATGTACACAAACAATGCCTTTGTCAAACCATTTTTTTAAGAAAAATAGATTTATGTTTAAAGCAGATGTCTTTGTTATTCCAAATGTAGTATTTGTGTGGGGAAAAGTTATGTTTATGTATTAAATTCCAGCATAGCAGTAGCTTTTTATGGAAGTTGGAAAGTTTAATTGGGAGTTTTTCAATACTATACCTAGAAATGTATAGTAGAAATATTTTAAACTAATACAACAACATCATATTAGTTGGTAGCACTGGGAACAAGGCCTCTCACCTTCTGCTGGCCCATCTTCTCTCTGTCCAAGTCCACATCCCTCACCGGTTCTGCTTCGGGAGACCCTGGTGGTCCCTCCTCGAACTTGCAGTCTGTTATGACCTTAGAGAGAGATGGTGCTGGGGAGGAAGGGGTAGCAGATGAGGAAGAGGAGGAGGAAGCACTGTGATGGAGAGGTGACAAAGGTAAGGAAGATGTGCCGGTAGCTGAGTAAGCAGTGGGGTCGCCCCGGAGATGCTGTGTCTCCTGGCGCAGCGCCTCGTTTTCGGTGGCGAGCTCCTGCCGCTCCCGCCGGACGCCGGTCAGCTCCTTGGTGAGGGTGTCCAGCCGCTGCCTCAGCTGCCGAATCTCATCCCGAGCTCTGTTCCGTTCTGCACGGACCTGACAAACAGAAACGGCACCACTTAACTAATGGCTTTCTGGACAATCATACTTGTAGTATGATACTACAGGTATGGACAATCATACATGTAGTATGATTGTCCAGGCTCAATAATCTCTCCCCACCTTACTCCACTTCTCTCTCCAGTTGGCTGTGCAGTCGGACCACCACCTCATGGTCTTTTCCATCTGGGCTGCCCTGGCCCGAGCTTCCTCCAGCTCCCTGAGCCTCAACTCCTCCCTGGTCTCCCAGTCACCTCCAGCTCCTTCACCCAGAGAGCCTAGACCCAGACCTCCAAGTCCAGGCGACAGCAACAGAGGGGGGCTGGAGCTGGGAGTTCCCCCAGTAGGGCTGGGCGTGTGGGCCAGGCTGTCTGGTGAGCGAATCCCCCGGTCCGACCCCAGACCGATGCTGCAAAGAAGGCCGCCTCCGGCTGACTTCCCGCCTTCTGACAGGTGGGGGCTGGGGCTGTGGTTCATTATGGCAAAGTGAGCGACCAGGATAAACAGAGTGAAGGAACAGGGCGGATATTCAGGAGAGCATATCTGGACTGTAAAAACCTGGAGACACAGAAACAGGATACATAATAGCTAGCCATGGAAAAACAATTTTCCTGTAACAGTAAGTTGTTCTTCTGTCATTAGCACATTTATCAGTATAAAAGTGGTTGACTGACAGCGCTAAAACACTCCTCCTCACTCTGATTGATTGTTTTTGACCAGGAGTAGTGCATTTTTGCAGACTGCAATAAATATGGAAAAACCAAAAAAGTTGTAAAGCTTCAAAAATTATCTTATGTATTGCCTTCTTTTATAGTGTGTATTATATCCACACAACAGGGCAGATCAGAAATGCTGCTTCTTAGAACAATACAAAAAGAAAAAACTCAACACTAGGGCTTGGCAAAATGTTTTTACATCAGGCTTCATGGCTACTGCACTAATATATCAATCAGCTTCTCTAAGCAGTAGTTGGCAATATGCTCTTTGCTGCCGAGTATGATAATTCATGCGGCTAAAACAAGCATTATTTTTTACATCAACTTAAAAGTTACGAAAGTTTTCCGGTTAAAATCATTTGAAGGTTCAGAATCAGCCTAGTATTGGTCACATTCTCAGCTGAGAAAGACTCACCTGGAATAAATTAAATTTTTAGCTATTGGAATTACGCCCGAGACAAATTAATTTAATCAAAATTTGTCATGAAACTTTGATTCATGACAAAGTTTTATGACTTGGTCATGAAACTTTGGAAGGGGTGCACTCATTGCAGTTTTCTGGCCAATTGTCGATTACAAATCTTTGAAAATCCTTACCTGCTGATTTTGATTTTGGCCAATACTAATTTTTTCATCTGAAATGTTGCTAAATATAGTAAGAAAGTCGCTAAGTTGGCAACAGTGGGGTGAATATTGTTAACTGCAAACGTACAGACATGATCTGGTGGGCTGCTCTGTCAGTCAAACCTCTCACTGTAGAGCAGAAGAAGACAGTGGCTGATTTTTAAAATCTTTACTGATGTAGATAAGATCGTCTTCACATGTATTGGCCGGTCACCAATCTATCAATGTAACATAAATGTTTCACTAACGTCACAAATCTTATTTTAGCATAGAGTGTTTTCTTCAGCAAAGTCACTGAGGAGGGATTCCAGAAGTGTGGAAGCATACACTAAGCAATAGGTTATGGAGGACCAAAACCGACATAATAAGAAATAAAAGAATAAATATATATCGGACATATATAAATAAAAGAATAAATATATATCGGACATATATAAATAAAAGAATAAATATATAAATAAAAGAATAAATACATATCTGACATAAGAAATAAAAGAATATATAAATAAAAGAAATATATATATATTCAACATAAGAAAAAATAATAAAAATATAAATAAAAGAATAAACATATATTTTGATAAGAATTAAAAGCATAAATATATATTTAGTTTTCCCTTTCCCTTACACGAGTTTCCGTCAAGAAAAATTAATATTTTGTTTAGCCTTTCTTTGCTTCTCCATTTTCTGCTTGCTGTTTTTCCGTTTGTCGTTTTTCTGCTGCATCGCTATGTTAATAATTGAGGTCATGTCCCCTTTTGAATTGTTTTTATCCTACGAACCACTCTAGGCCTAAGTTTGAAATCCTGTGAGATTTTGTGGGATTTGAGTTTTTAAAAATAGGGTGAGGCCTATTGTTTGGTCCGGGAGAGCATGTGATGGACAAGGAAGTGTAAGGCTGGCTGCTCCAGGTGGGCTTTAAATTAAAGTGATAGTAAATCACTTGTTTTTCATTTTTTATTATGATTTGCTTAGGGACATGCTTAGATGTGCCTGTATTCCAGAACAGCTGAGTAAGATGATTGCATAATCTCTTCTGCAGCCGTCAAAAACTGCAGAAGGCTGTTAATCATCCACAGATTCAATCCAGGAAAGAAGGAAAAGACCTAGAACATGTAAGGCAGGTGAAACACTGATCTAAACCTGCTAATGACTGATTCAGTCTGTTGATTCTTGGATTGGTAACTGGTTAAACTGAACTGGACAATTATTACTTGTGCAGGATCTTTATCAGCATATAGACATTTTTTAATTAATTTAATCAACTTATTTGGAAATATTTGTAGTTAATGGAAGATTGAACCTCTCCTCTCCTTGGGCTGCCACCTTATCGTGGTGGAGGGGTTTGAGTGTCCCAATGATCCTAGGAGCTATGCTGTCTGGGGCTTTATGCCTCTGGTAGGGTCATCCAAGGCAGACAGGTCCTAGGTGAGGAACCAGACAAAGTGCAGCCTGAAGACCCCTATGATGATAAGTAACATTGGATTTAGTGTTCCCTCGCCCGGCCGCGGGTCACCGGAGCCATCTCTGGAGCCAGGCCTGGAGGTGGGGCACGATGGCGAGCGCCTGGTGGCCGGGCTTTTACCCATGGAGCCCTGGCGGGCTCAGCCCGAAGAAGAGACGTGGGTCCCCCTTCCCGTAGGCTCACCACCTGTGGGAGGGGCCAAACGAGTTGGGTGCATTGAGTGATGGGCGGCAGCCGAGGGAGGGGACCCTGGCGGTCTGATTCTCGGCTGCAGAAGCTGGCTCTTGGGACGTGGAGTGTCACCTCTCTGGTGGGGAAGGAGCCGGAGCTAGTGTGCGAGGCTGAGAGGTTCTGGCTAGAAATGATCGTCCTCACCTCGACACATGGCTCTGATTCTGGAACCAGTCTCCTTGAGAAGGGCTGGACATACTTCCACTCTGGAGTTGCCCACAGTGAGGGGCGCCGGGCAGGAGTGGGCATACTTGTTGCTCTCCATCTCGGCGCCTGTACGTTGGGGTTTACCCCGGTGAACGAGAGGGTAGCCTCTCTCCGCCTACGGGTGGGGGGATGGGTTCTGACTGTTGTCTGTGCTTACGGGCCGAACAGCAGTTCAGATTACCCACCCTTCTTGGAGTCCTTGGAGGAGGTACTGGGGGTCCCCTCCTGGGGACTCCCTTGTTCTGCTGGGGGACTTCAACGCTCACGTGGGTAATGACAGTGAGACCTGGAGGGGCGTGGTTGGGAGGAACTTCCCCCTCGATCTGAACTCGAGTGGTGTTCTGTTGTTGAATTTCTGTGCTCGTCATGGATTGTCCATAACGAACACCATGTTCAGGCATAAGGGTGTCCATATGTGCACTTGGCACCAGGACACCTTAGGCCACAGTTCGATGATCGACTTCGTCATCGTATCATCGGATCTGCGGCAGCATGTCGGACACTCGGGTGAAGAGAGTGTCCGACATGAAGAAGCTCCTTGGTGGCAGGGCCCCAGGGGTGGATAAGATCCGCCCGGAGTTCCTTAAGGCTCTGGATGTTGCAGGGTTGTGTTGGTTAACGCGACTCTGCAATATCGCATGGGCATCGGGGGCAGCATGGACATGGATTGACAGACTGGGGTGGTGGTCCCCCTGTTCAAAAAGGGGGACCGGAGGATGTGCTCCAATTACAGGGGGGTCACACTCTTAAGCCTCCCTGGTAAGGTCTGTTCAGGGGTCCTGGAGAGGAGGGTCCGTCGGATATTCAAACCTCGGCTTCAGGAAGAGCAGTGTGGTTTTCGTCCTGGTCGTGGAACACTGGACCAGCTCTACACTCTCACCCTGGTTCATACAGTACAAATCTTAACCTCATGGATGCTGTTCTTCCATGGACAATACTGTTGTTCTGACAGTCAAAAAGGAGTCAAATATGTTTGAAGATCTATCCCTCTTTTCTTAAATAAAATGTTATATCAATCCCATGTTGTCATTTGTAACCTTTTGTACACAGAGGTTTGGTAATATGTTAATGTAAGATACTTTTGAATGACATATACCCATGATACCCATCATCTGCCAATAAAATAGTGTTTAACACCAGTGAAGAAACTTTTAGTGGTATGTTATGATGCAGATCTGTCAGACCAAAAATATTAACATAAATCCTTAGCTTTCATTCAATATAAAATCAGAACAAATCTGAATATAGAACCACATTCAAATGATTGTTGAATCAACATTGATTCCTAACTGATTCAATGTAAAATCAACACAAATATGCATGTAAATTGACATACAGATGATGGTTGAATCAACATTGATATAGTGTCATTATGGTTGAAACTAACGTTGATTCATCATGCAAGTCACCGACCACTTTCAATTCCGTTTCAATGCCAGGCTTCAAAGTGGATTCCAAGTCTCTGCCTGACATTGTTTCAATGTTGTTTCACTCATATTGTGCTATCTGGGTAGCTTTTGTGTTTATGTTAGCAACGGGATTTGACACCTTCATTTGTCACACTCAGAAACTCTACCAGCCATGTACCGCGACAGAGGATTCCCGCCTCCCGTTTGTTGAAACCGGGGTGATATGAAATTTATGGTGCGGTTCGCCCATAAAGCTACATTTATACTGTAAGCATCAACTATTCAGCCACCCACTGTGTTCAGTCTATCTACTTACCTGTATAAATACTCCTGCAGCGCTCTCAACCAGCAGCTCCTGGAGGAAAAAGGCTGCCGTACTCCAGGCATCGCATTCATTTTAAGGATGCTTATTGGTCCCCCGAAAACAACAAAAACCCGGTCATTATCAAAACAAAATCCCCACGGCCGAACTTGAAAATTGGACATTAAGATGATAAAACTTAGCTTTCGTCAACAACTCAGAGGCTCAAGTGAGAGCTCCGCGCGATGCAGATAATGGCGCGCTAAATAATACAACATAAATTAACCAAGCTTTGAGGCAGATCAATTTTCCTCAAGGAATTTTAATAATCGAGGTACTTGAATCATCTGAGGAATCGTTTCAGCCCTAGCTAGCGCCGACTAAAATGGATGACTCCGACTTCCTGCTATCTCAGAACTCTGTCCCGAACTGCAGGGTTTGCTGCTTCGCTTCGGTAATGGGATGCAGAATGTGAAATTCTGCATCCTGTCACCGAAGCGAAGCAGCAAGCCGAAACAGAGTTCTGAGATAGCAGGGAGTCAGAGTCATCTGCTTTAGTCAGCGCTAACAGGGACACGTCTTACATTGTTCATCTTTAGGCCCCGACCAGAATGTTCATGTGAGAAAACTTGAACATTCTTGCCAGCATAAGTTTGAGAAGCGCAACC